GTGGTGCCTGTGGCGCCCCCCTCTGCCTGTTCCAGCAGCCAGACTCCCGATCCTGCCAAAGGGGTATCCCTCTGCTGTGTGAGAAAGACAAGACTCTGGGCAACCTGGGACAACGTAATGTGCTCGTATGTGTCCCAGGAAAGGTATTCTTGGGGAGGTTTGTTTTCCTTGCTTGGAAAGGAAGGAGAGGAAGAAAGCAGAGAAAGTAAAACACTGTATTCGGATTCAGGATTCTGAAGCTCTTTCTTACCTTGGTAAATGCATGTTACAATCCTTTTTTGTGGCTTGGCTTGTATTTTCATGGCTCAACCTGACAAATTTGTTACAGGAAATGTATGCAAGGTCAGGTCTGAAAGTAAAGCTTTCTTGAGTTAAGGTGTTTTCTTCTACACAGTATCTGACCTTGCAATAAGAGATTTTACTACAGACCTGCCTCGTCATGTGTGTTGCCACTGCACAGATTGACTTCAGTATCATGGGCCAGTTCTGCTCACAGAGCAAACCCCACTTGAAGAGCAATAGGATGACCTAATTCCACATTGGCTACCAAAGAAGATGGAAAGCTGCTCTCCTGTTCAGGAGAGCACCTGAGAGCTTCAACTCAGAAGGTCACAGCGTGGCTTGGCTCTTTGTCTCTAGCTTTGGTGCACGTTCCATGAGAAACCTCTGGTGAAGGGAGCCTGCCAGAAGACTCTTGCTGCCCTGAAACTGGATTACTTGGATCTCTACCTCATCCACTGGCCTTTTGGATTTAAGGTACAGTAACAGTATTGTGTCTTACAACTTCTGTCTCTAACCTCAGGCACTCTTGAAGAGCTTTACAGCTCACCTGTTGCTCCAGCCAGGGAAGATCATGCATCTCTTTGTGTGTACGAGCACCGTACCCGCACACAGAAGCGTAGTGTTTGGTTTCCTAGTATGTATTTTGGTGAGCCAAAATATCGTTGGGTCTGGTGGAAGTACCTGTCTGTATGGGGTTGATTGCTGGCCATAGCTCCACATGAAGGAGAAAGGAATGACTGAAGAATGTAGGCAAGAACCAGTACTACATTTTCTGCACTGAAGCTTGTTATCATAGTCCTCAGTTGTCATGGTATTAAGCTAGCTTCCAAACAGGTTGTTTGAAGCATTTCAAAAGGTGAGGCTTTTTATACCATAATTTCGCTGATTGCACGCACTATAAAGGAACTGTGTCAGTTTGTATATACCTAGTCTTAGTCTTCCCTTTCTGCTACATTCAGATCAAAATCTCTATCCTGTCTAATACTCTGCTGCTAATCCACTTCATTTCATACTCTCAATATTGTTGCCGTTATCTTTATGTGGACAAAGCCATCGACTGAAACTGTGTCACAGCATAATACTGTGGCATCAGTAGACAACTGCAATCATTCAAAACACTTCAGCTGCAGTGTCTGGTACATGTAGGTTGTTCTACTTTTCCTAACACCAGGAGCTTAAACAGTGAGTCTCCCCATGGATGATCTGTCAGTGTACACAGTACCTTTTTCAGTATGTCTGGTCTAGTATAGAGCAAGCTTGTACATTTGCAGGTCCTATGTCGGTCCTCCATTTACCTTTTCAAAAATAAAATGACAAAAAACAACCTATTATTCCTAAATAGGCACAATGGAACAATACATAGCATTAACACATGTGAGGCTCCAGAATACAGTTCTATGAGTGAAGTGCTTCCCTGCATGCACTCTGAGTCACCACTTGGTGGGGTCCAGCAGAAATACTTGTCTTTATTGGCATGGCTGCTGGCAAAAATGCCATAACCCTGCAGTATGAAGAATGAAGTAACCTAACATAAAAATTATTTTTCTGTCATGAACCAGGAGCTTTAGCCCCGCCATGTTCCTGTTTGGTTCTCTTACAAAGTTAGCTTCCCAACACAGATTGTTTCAAGTGTTTTCTTTTGCACTAACAGGCAGGAGAGGAGCTATTTCCCAAAGATGACAAAGGCATGTGTATACCCAGCAACACTGATCTGCTACATACTTGGGAGGTAAGCTCAGCCACAGCAGAAGACTGAAGCTTGCTCTGTCCTCAACAGTCTCTTCCACATTTTTGTTATGGTCAGCAGTCACAGAATTATTGTCTTACGCATGGAAAATTTTGGGAAGGAACTTAAGAGTAGTGTGAGGTAGCTTTTCAAAACGCGCATGCTCAGTGAAGCTGTTATTCCTGAGTGCCTCATTTGTGAGTGCCTAACCCACCATGAGCTGCCCAATGACTTTCAGTGGAGCCACAGACCAGATTCAGGTTAGAAGTTCTTTGCCTGACCTTAACAACCATACAGCTGTCTTCACCGCAGTTCTAACACAGTTATTGGGAACTGTCCCAACACACTTCGCAGGAATAAAGACATCCTGCCTACAGCCCAGGGCACAGCCCTCCAGTGCTGGCACAATAGGGGATTATCAAGTGTTGTCACTCTTTTCCACCTGGAACTCAGGGTGAATTTCTGCAGTCTCAAGGAACGAGGCTTTGGTCTTGGATGGGATGGATGATGTGGCACAAACATACCACAGACCTCTTTTCCCTCAGAGACTCAAGAACTCTGTGCATCTTGAGACAGTTATGTTGATCCTTCACACGAAGGAAGCAAGCCAGGTCAGGAAGAACGCCTTCTTCAGGCCCTGTCTGGTACACCTCATGATGACTTTGCTGCCCTTTCTGTTAGGCCATGGAAGAGCTGGTGGATGCTGGTCGGGTAAAAGCCATTGGAATCTCCAACTTCAACCACGAGCAGATTGAGAGAATCTTGAACAAGCCGGGACTGAAATACAAGCCTGCAAATAACCAGGTAGGCTGCTATATTACAGCAGGTGAGTGTTTTTCAAGGATTATGAAGATCTGATCACAGTAGAATGAGGATATGGAAAAAGGGAAAATGGAATAGACATAGCTTGTTCTCTAAATCCCACCCTGTGGTTATTTCTGGGTACCCAAGGCACTGGGATACTTCCTTTCTTTGTTTTTGAACTTGCTATACCACTGTTTACAAATGCTGGAGCAGCTAGCCTTTAAACATGCATTTTGGAGGGATAAAGAATCCAGAAATGAGCTTTATGAAACCCTGCATCCAAAGCTGTGTAAGAACTTACTACAAAAATATGTGCCTTCAGTACTAAGGATGCATATTGTCACGTAGACCACTGGCAAGTTAGGACACAAGGCAGGCTGTAACTGGATTAGGAAATAATCCCTGGAGCACAGCAACATTACAACAGTTCCACCACTGTTAATCTCTATGGTCTTGTGTTGGCAGATCGAATGTCATCCATACCTTACCCAGGAGAAGCTGATCAACTATTGCCAATCCAAAGGGATTGCTGTGACAGCATACAGTCCCCTTGGCTCTCCAGACAGGCCATGGTAAGACTGCTTTGCAATCTGCAAGGGAGCTGGCATGACTTATGCTTGAACCATTGAGACTATCACTGCACCTTTACTCACTCCGATAGATATAAGTTTCTGTTGCTAGGTGGGGTCTTTCTATGGAGGTTCCTCACCATTGGCCTTCTGTTCCCCATATAGGGCTAAGCCAGAGGATCCTTCCCTTCTGGATGAGCCCAAGATTAAAGAGATTGCAGCCAAGCACAACAAAACCCCAGCACAGGTAGGTAGGTGCAGTAAAGTGGGTACTGGTTCCAGGAACCAGCTGTATGAAAATTATGCTTGAGGAAAGGATACAGCCTACAACCATTCCCTATGAACTGTGGCACTCCCCAGTGATTTTCCTTTAAAAATGCAGGTTCTTTACTACGTGCTCTGTGTTACTAAGAGCTCTTTGGCCTTCAACAAGAAAAAGGTCCTTGACTCATCTTCAGATATTTTCATGTTTCAGTCTTCTCAAGTCCCATTGCAGAGAATGCAACCTTTATATAGATTGCTAGAAGTCCATGTGGGAAGATAAAGAATTGAGTATTACCTGACTGGTTGGAGGAGGAGAAAGGAGGAGACCTTTCTGTGGGCTCCACCACTTCACTCTTTGTTCTTCAGAAGGTGCTACCTAGGCCTCAGGTACAGGAATGATGTGAAATACAGCTCTGCAGAAATGGGTTAGTTCTGCTGAATCTTATACTTCACAGCAAACTGCTATTAGAACAGACTCTGCTCCTTACAGAACAAAAGGAGACAACCTCTCTCTGACTCATTGATATGCTCTTGCAGGTTGTCCTTCGGTTTCAGATCCAGAGAAATGTGATTGCCATTCCCAAGTCTGTCACACCACAGCGTATTGTGGAGAACTTCAAGGTGAGCGATTACAAGTGACCTGGGTGCTGCCCTTCAGGGATCGCACTCCTTCTCCCTGCATAGCAAGTAGCAATCCTTTCCCACCCTTCCCAAGTCCTCTCCAGACAAGAGGACTGGGCTTTTTTGTCTATATGTTTAGCTACATTCTAGTGAGGGCTAAACTAACAGCTACCATTGGAGGACAGCAGTGAAGAGCGTGCATATGATACTTCCTGCTTCTGTGGCTTGTGAATGAATCAGCAGGCAGAGCTTGCATGCAGCCCAAGTGCAGAAACATGCCAGAAAAGTTATATATAGTTTGAGCAAAGTTAAGAAAATACCTCTTTTGTCCATCATCCAAGTCACTCCCTTAACAGTCAATACAGTGGCCCCCGACTGAAACTCAACATTAGCATTTCGGAGACATGTACTTGAATTGATGGGAATATGAAAGTCTTCAAAACATTTATCACAAATAGGACAGAGATGTACAAACAGAAATTCTCCAACACTAACTTCTCACTAAGCTAACCAGCACACCTCCAGTGTGAAGTCATTCTGTAATCTTGTGCATCTTTTTCATAATCTACGACTTGTTCAAAGAGATAATTTCCAGCTGTTTCTTCTGTTAGGTATTTGACTTTGAATTGACCAAAGAGGAGATGGCAACCATTTTCAGCATTAACAGAAACTGGAGAATTTGTGCAATGAGCATGTAAGTGACACTTCCTGTTTCGTTCCACCTCTTAAATTGTGAGCATCCTCTTTACAGGGAGATTCCTCTTTACAGGGAATTTTGTGTCACGGGCATTAGTTTGGGCAAAATCTGGCATATTTAAAAACCTTGCCAGATTAAATTCCAAGTGGTTCATCCCCAAAATATTTTTTCAGAAGAAGGTTTAATAGTTTGATTTCTTCTCGTTCTTTTGTTATTAAAATGAAAATATCTTCTCATTTTCAATTCAGTCTCCAGGAAACTCTCTGTACCTGGAATTAAAACAGATGGTTCTAGTTGTTCATTTTGCATTTGTCTGTATGACAGAAATGAGCATGAAACGGATTCCAATTCCTGGTTAACTTTTCATGTGGAATTTATTTGCATTTCCTGCTGTACCCTTTTAGGAATATTACAGAAACTGATGGCATGTTTTTCATGCATGTTTGGGAGGCACATGCACATTGGGCAGGTGCAGTGAGTGGATTTATGCTTGGCAGCTTGACACCAGATATGAAATCTTTCTTGAAAGGCTACAGAAAATGTCCTTCAGACAGTAAACAATGTGAATTTAAATTCTTTACCTAGAAAGTGATTATGTCCCACCACCTTAGAATGCTCCGCACACCTGAATAACAGGAGAGGACTTGAATTTTTTAGGGTACAAATAGCACACATCACCAAGGAAAATAGAAATCTGTGTATATACACATATATGTGTGTGGATGTGCACACATATATATCTATATATAGGTATACACATATTCTGCAGTGACACAATTCAGATCCTCCCTCGGTGACTCCTCTATGCACCCACTACAAATCTATATAGCATTTATTTCAGCCATAAGAGTAATCTTCCCTCTTTAATTTCCTTCAGGTGCAAAACCCACGAGGATTACCCTTTTAACGCAGAATACTGAAGATGGTTTTACCTTGTGCTTCTCTAGATCTCTGAGGTCCGATGTGCTTCTGGTTTAACTAAGAGCTATACATTTATCTAACGTTCTTATTGCATCTGCCCTGCTGCTGACAGCAAACACACAGGATATGTATTTAGTGAATTTTGTTCTAAGATCATTGTTGGAAGAAGGAAACAGTATAATTGAATTACAGAACAAAATGTGTTATGTAATTATTCTCTGGGTAAGACGAGAGAAACATTATCCAAGTGCCTGGCTGGAAAGCAGAAAATATGGAGAACATTTGAATTACCACTCAATGATTAACTTATGTTTAAAAAAGAAACACACTCACATAAAAGCATGCAAAAACAATTTCATCAATAGACTCTGATATTTTAAATAAAAATCATTTTAAAATGCAAAAGCATCATTGGCTGAAAGTCTTCTGCTTGACTCAAGAAAAAGGCTTTTTTGGTATAAAATGAACTGTGCATAAGCTTTTGTGCTCTAGGCTCACCTTCTTGCAAAAGAAGCTATGCATAGACATGTCAACTGCAGCCAGCTGCACTGGGGGACGTGACTCCTCCCTGGGGCAATTCCCACCAGCAAAACCACTCAGCACTTTTCCCTCCAGGCCCCAGAGGGCAGCCAGCCTCCAGAGGACACTCCCATTGCCCTTTCATCACAGGCCAGGAGTAGCACCCCAAGGCCCCAGTATACCTTCACCCACCCCACACCCACATTTCTCCCTGCCACAAGACCCCAAACCAAACAGCCTCCCTGGCAGCCCAGACAGCCCCCCGGGACCAGGTCCCCTCACAAGGCCAAATGCCCTGAGCACCCAGGCCAGGCCAGGGGCTTGGGCACTAGAGCTCCTCAGGCTGCAACAACCCTCCTCCTGCAGCCCCCATCAACCCAGCTGACCCCTCCCTGCCCCACAGCTGCAGATGGGGCTCTCAGGCCTCCCAACCTGGCCAGTGCCTGCCCCTGCCCTCATGGGGGGGGGCCGCTCACC